ATACCACTTACCATATTGTTTGTAAATATGTTATTTATTTAGGTTGTGATTATTTTGGGTTTTGTGATCTTTGGAAAAATGGTTAATCTCATCCTTATATGAGAGAAATCCTCTCTGTAAAATAAATTCATAATTGTTTTCCTGTGTGGAACGCAGCATTCGGTTTGCCGTGTCCCGAGTCAAGGAGGGAATCATTGATTTCACCAGGGGTCCAGAGCTGAAGGTGGCCAAGGGCAAAAGAGGACATCTGCTGGTGGTGAGTCAGCGCCTCTTCTCTCATCATGTGGACAGACTGTGTGGGAGGGAGTCTGTGAAAAAACCTTCATCCAGCTGACTCTGCTCAAACTGTTTTCCTCTTCAGACTGCCCCTCAGATCAACGCAGCGTGAAGATCCAGGAAAAGCGAGAAGATGACCAGGATGACGCTGAAGTTTCGGATTTCCAGCTTCCTGTTTAGCACTAAATGACTCTTTCACTGTTTTGTTTTTTTTTTCTTTTTAATAACCCGCACTTCTTGTATGGCTCAACATCTAATATACTTAAAACATCAAAAACACAGTTTCTTTCACTGCCACATCCAGGTAGGTCTCAGTGGATTAAAGGATCAGGAAAAGAGGTTTTGATTTTTCAGAATTCAGAAAACTGAAACGTATAAAAACACCAGCAGTGTTAAGGTTTATTTGGATGATTATTGCTTAAAGTTTATGCAAATTTGATTTTCCAAGAATATTGGGAAAAAAAGGGTTTTTCAATCCAGAAACGCTGCAGCCTGTACGGTAATCTGCTGACTCAACAGATATCCAGCAAACCATGTTTAAAAGCCTTCACTAAAAGGTTAAACCATGAAAGGTCATTTCTAAAGAATCATGAGGTTTACAAAGAACCAAGTCTAATTAATGGAAAGTTAAGTTATAGAAAAAAAACCTACGTAGAAAGAGGCCGGATTTAAGGGATTATGGTCTAAAAGTCAAGAGTTGGAGGGAATTTCTAAAGCCACCAAACGAGAACATGTCCACAACATGAGCTAAATGTGTAATTTATTAGACATTAAAAACACCGTCCACTGGCTGAAGACAAATATTCTCCACAGGGAGTAATTTAAGACAATTATTTAATATGTTTTTTGAAAATCAGAAAAAAGTGAATTAAATTGATATACTTATTATAAACAGTACTTTATAAAAGACAGATTTAAAAATGTGTTTTAAGGATCTTCTCTAGAGCTGAGAGTCCTCAGAAGGACGCCTTATAAAGTCCAAAAGGTTTCAGGAATCAGGAAACATATACTGTAGATCCTATAGAAAAGTCCAATCCGCATGTGAATGACTAGGATCAGATCAGACTACTAAGCAGGGTTATACCGGTATTTAAGGTGATCTAAATGAAGGTGAGAAAACATTACAATCACAAACAATAAAGGTTTCATGAATCCCAAAGTGTGTTTGTGTCATAATCTTTTGCTCTGGAACAAAATACAGACGGACACTGTGGAGTCACAAGGTGAGTTTTTAAAGATTGAATAAAATCCCTCAGCAAATAAAACAGAAGCATAGAAAGTTAACTGAAGACCTGATGAATACTGGAAAATGACTCACATCTTTCATAGGGGGAAAGAAAACTGCAAATAATGGAACAACTGAGGAAACATTTTTACTAGGCCTGCAACTAACAATTATTTTGCTAATAGATCTGCTGATTAATTTTTCCATTAATAAATTAATAATCAGTTAGCAAAAGATTTTTTTCCTGAATTAAACCTTGAGAAACTAAACCTTCAAACTCCATTTGAGGTTTTCTGAATAGAGCTTATTGACAGACCAAAAAGTTTTCCCATGTTAAATGCAAAATATTCAGCTAAAGACATATTTTACTAACCTGACAACAGCCAGATGCATGTCTGGCGGAGCGAGACATGCATCTGGCTGTTGTCAGGTTAATATTTTACAGTCTCTATACTCCAATTAACGATTAATCGAATACTAAATTAGTTGACAATTATTTCAATAATCGATTAATCCAATGATTTTTTGCTCTCTTTTGCACATTGCTTTTATCACTTCCTTTTTTAGATCTGTAAATATATATAATTATATATATATAGTTATATATGTATATATTTTTAGTGTGCAGTGTTGTATATAAATTTGTTGTTTGTATACGAATTGTTTCAAACCTAATTTTCATTTACAGTTGAGACTCAGTTATGCTCCGATTCAAACTAACATGGTTTGAGTTTCTTTTGTGTCTTTTGATTTACTGTATTTGTTACTTTCCTCTTATTTTCACCTGAAATTTTAAATGTGAAATTCATTTTTTTTCCACGTTAGGTTTTTATTTTTTTTTCATAAACTTTGTTTTTTGTTCTTTTTTTAAACTTGGTATTAGTTTTGCTATTTGGGTCTTGACACATTCTGTTATTTTTGCTATCAGGGATTAACACCAATTTAAAAACCATAATATGATATATTATCTAATAATTTTTTAAAAAATAAGAACATCAAAAACTGTAGTACAAATAAAATTGTTATGTTAACCTTTCTAGTAATGTTTTTTTTTTTTCAGTACTATTAATTTTATTTTCAATTCTATAGAGAAAATTTCCGATACAATAAAAACAGAAAAGTAGCTTTTAGCTTCAGAGCTAAAATAGCTTTTTTTTTTTTTTGGCCTTTTCTTTCTAAGATTGTTGCTGCCAACAGATTTTTATTCATTTCAGATAGTTATTTGTTTTTCAAAGCCAGAAATGNGAGACAAATCTGTATTTATTGCTCACAAGAAATACAGCTGACCAGCAGTCCCCAGAAACAGGTGGGGGAGGAGCAACACTTTATATGTTCTTCAAGCTGCCAAATAAAACTCTCCTCTACAGGTAGGATGGGTTCGATATAAAATGTAATGTTTGTGAAACTCTTACATTTTAGGATCTTTAGAAGCAGCTCTAATCAAATATTGATAGAAGTGCAAACAACCAGCATTTTTTTTTAAATGTGCATTTTTTTTAAAAGCCACACTATAATCAGAACAATAATTCAGCCCATTCTAATACTTTTAGATCTGGGATTAGAACTGAACAGCTTCATGATCTAGAATCCTTTAAAGCTGAAAATTCCTTAAACCCACTCATGTCAAATTCAATGTTAAAGCACTTTATCCATCCCTTAAAAACCTGAAAAAGGCATATCAGGTCAAATAGCAGAGGCAAATTTTATTTTTAAAGTCTACAAAAGTATTAAAACTGCTAAATAAAAGTGACTATGAAGTTTAAATATCAGAGCAGTTTCCTTATTGTAAAATCCAAATTCAATTTATACAGCACTTTTACAGACTTGATGTCACTCCATTGGTGTCTCTAGATTAGGTTTTCTAGGGGGGCAGGGTTTTTCCATCAGGCAAAAACAAAAGATTTCAATAATAAAGAAATAAAAATGCTAAGACATTTATACAAAGAACAATTTGCTGCTTTGGAGCTGCAGGTTATAGATCACTGATTTAGCACTGTGGCTCCCAAAGTGGAGGATGCTCCCTCTATGAGGAGCTCCGTGTAGAAGTGCAGGTAGTAAAATGTCATTGTAAATATGTTCCATTGTAAGTATTGTAAATATGGTGCTGCTCAGTGATGCAGTGTGTAGCACTGCTGCCTTGCAGCAAGAAGGTTTCAGGTTCGATTCCTGGCCCGGGGTTCTTTCTGCATGGAGTTTGCATGTTCTCCCTGAGCATGCGTGGGTTCTCTCCGGGTACTCCGGGTTCCTCCCACAGTCCAAAAACATGACTGTTAGGTTAATTGGCTTCTCTAAATTCTCCTTAGGTGTGAGTTAGGTGTCTCTGTGTTGCCCTGCGATGGACTAGTGACCTGTCCAGGGTGTACCCCGCCTCTCGCCCGTAGACAGCTGGAGATAGGCACCAGTGGATGTAAACATGTTTTTTTCTCCAGTTTGCTTTTCTTTTTTCATCTTTATAAATGACTGTCCAGATAGGGGTGAAAAAACTTTCCTTTAAAACCTGGAAAAGTTTGGGAACCACATATCTGGCAGATGAGAACCTTGTTATCAGTACAGCTAAAGTTAAAAGTGAAGCAACACATCCTTCTCAGAATAAAATGCTGAAAAACTAGAATTGGTCCGACAGCCATCAGTTCTGTACCAGCGCATATTATGAGGTCAGAATTCTGCAAACATGTAATACTCATATAAGGAGTTTTTTTTTTTAAACACACACATGAACACTCTCCTCAAATGTTTATGCATTCTGATTCCATATTATGAGGCCCCCAATACTGTATGTCACAAGTTGATGCTCCTCTCATGTCGATGTGTTTCTGTGACTACTAGCTCGTTGCTAAAAGATTTGAATTTGATCAAGTGAATTAGATTTTAAATAAAATTATATTAAGTTTTTTTTTTTTTTTTTTTTTAACTTTAGTTAGTTTAAGGAGCATGAACTCATGCGTGACACGTTCAAAGTGCATGTGGAGAGTGGTTTATGTGTTTGTTTGGAATAAAACTGTTTGTATTATTATTTATTACGTGTCAGCTCTTTTGGCAGAAATCTGAATTCATACTCTTCATTATCCTTAACTGATTTGATATGATGTCTTTAATAAAGGGGCCAAAACAGGGAAAAAGACCATATTTTCAGGGGCGTTGGCCCCTGTCGGCCCCCTTCTAGAACCACCCATACATCACTCCAAACCTGTCATAGCTTTCAGTTTGCAGCTGACAGAAAAGGAAGCATGTGTCCTAAAATACTATTTTTTATACCACGACTTGCAGCATCGAATTTCAATTATTTAGTTTTTAGAAACATCAGGTTCAGCGTCTTTCTCAGTGAATTTATTGACATTGATAAACAATATTTTCTATTATATACAACATGCCTTCTGTAATACATTATTTCTCTACTCATACACATCTCAAATACACCATTTAAAATAAATAACTTAATAAATATAATAATAAATAGCAAATAGTTGTTTGGAAAGTCCTCCAGTTCGAGTCTGTGGTGGAAAAACAGGATGTCTTCTGGGAGCATGTGTCAAATTTACAATTAGAGGTCAGATAGAAACTTTGGGAAATACCCAAAAAAAACCTGAGATGTACAGCAGCAGTTATCACAACAAAAAGTAATCCAGTGCTCAGACTGCAGTCCTACACAGTTAATCCCAGAGCTGCTGTGTAATTGTTCAGACTTTGTTCACCGTCTTTTGTATGGGGTCATGAGTGTGATTTGGAGGCCAGTAGAAGGAAGTCTCTTGCTAGTTTTGTGAGGTAAAGGTGTAAATCTCTGAGAATGATGTAACCTTCCACTCTGCTTTCCCACAATGTTCTGGAGCTCCTCCCAAGGTTCTGTAGTTCTACACAAGGTGCTGGTTTGACCCAAGAGCTTTTAATGCCTCTCATCTGGAGGAAGGAAAACAAAACAAAACTCATCAGGCCAACTGCAGCGTCGCTTCCTGTAAACTTCATCTGGGCTTGAACAGGAAGAGAGACCAAAATAATTTTTAGTAAGAACCGTGTATACCTCACTGTTGACTTTCTTCATCAGGTCGCATAAGTCATGCTGAACGTGCCTGATGCTCTGAAGCAAACTGGGGTCCATCTGCACGTCACGCTCCTGCTCCAGCTGTTTTCTTTTCCACCCCAGCATGCTCCAGTAGGTCTGGATGTCCCCTAAAGCTCCGTGCAGCCGAGTCCAGTCCTGAGCATTCAAAAGCAGACAGTTACATCACAAAGGTTTTGCACAAATCAGTCTGCACATGTCTGCAGCCCTGAACGGGGAATTCTGCATGATCACTCATTAGATGATGTCACCAGACTTTTTTTTCAAGTGGAAAAAAAGAAAAAAATACTTAGAAATTTAGATTTTTCTGAACTTGTTCTGGGACATACTAACCGTCATCTGAAACCAGTTGTTGAAATCTGTGGAAAGCAACGGCAGATCCCTCAAGTGGTAGCTATGGTCCTCTAGATGGATGTTCCCCATCTGCAGCTTCTTTATCAAAAATAAAACGTTGTGTCAGGTATAAACAAAGATAAAGACATGAATGTCCATTTAAATAATAAAAAATAAAAAAACCTACATATTTCTCCAGGAGGTGCTGCACACTCTTCCGTGTGGTTCTTGTGAGATTAAGTGAATCATTTTTGTTTTTCTGAGCAAACTGTGACGTAGGAGCAGATCTTGCAATGCCCAGTGCCCAACAAAAAAGGAACAAACGGCTCCAATTGGTCATCTGAAAGAGGCACGGATTAACATATTCAATAAATCAAAATCTGAACTAGGCTAAATCAGGCTAAATCTTCTGACTATAGAAAATAAAACAGATGTGACATTGCATGCTTATGGGGAGTTTTCAAATATTTCTGTAAAGAAATTCCACACCACAGCGTTAATTTTTCCCCCAGTCATTTGCCTACCAATAGTCTTCATTTCTTATGCAATTCAATACCGCTGCTGCTGTCAGAGTTGCACGCATGCACAAAACAGAAGTGAACCAATTCTTCTCAGCACTTTCACTCTGGAGGCAAGCATTCTGGTGTTGGTTTGGTTCTGCATCTAAACATGAATCCTGCAGGCAGCAGAGGCCATTCAGGCGGGATGCAAAATTCATACTGGAAAATGTAAAGTTTCTTTCTTCTATGGCTTCTGTGGTTCCTCGAAGAAAAAAATGAAGCAAATCTTTCAATTTTTGCTGCTGATTTTATTATCAGTTACAATCGAACTACCAGAGGGCTGAATGCAACTACTGATTCAGCATTTGTCTTGATACTCAGTGACTCTGTGTGTCTAAAAGAAGGATGAAACCATTAGTTTCTCACCAGATAATAGGTGATAAGAAAAGCCTAGTTCAGGGGTTCCCAAAGTGGGGGACAGGACCCCTCAGGGGTTACAAGAACCCAATGAATGTGATGGGAACCCTGAGGTGTATGGGGGGGGCATAGTATATAATATATACTATAATAAAAAATAAAAAGAGACATAGTATATAATATAAAATTTAATTTTAAAATAAGACATTAAATAATACAAATATATTTAAAGTGATCAATAAAGCAATTAAATGTCTTTTTAGAAATGTAATTGGATTTAATAATGAATGCAATAACCTCATTTTATATTTAGAAATAAATACAGTCAAGTAAATACATCTACTTTCAGAGGATCTCTGATCTGTTGCAACAGGGAATTATTGATATTATTGGTGACACCGATAAAAACTCCGCCAATCCACAATCCATATATATATATATATATATCTATATATATATATATATAGATATACACTTTTTTTCAGGTTTTAAGAAAATGTTTATACATCTGCAGTCAATACTCTGAGCAGGCTGACATCTATATCTAGATACAGACATAAAGCGTCAAAGAGAGAATGATGAATATGTAATTGTTCAGGCTTACCTTGAAGGAGTTGTGAGCAGCACACTAATGATTCAGTAAAAATCCGAGCAACATATATATATCTTCATGTTATGCTTTCAGTTTCTCTCTCCTTCTAAGGCTTTTTCTTTTTTTTCATCTTGTGGTTACTGAAGTGTTTCTCAACGAAACAAACTGCAAGTTTAAAACAGGAAGTTATATCACAACCTGAGACAAAATTGCCAAAATTTAGGAAAGAAAATCAAGTCTGCAAGGATAAAACTGCGGTTAATCCCACAGTAATATCTAACAAAAACATTAATTCTAAGTACTTGAACTTCCGCTTTTTGTTTGAAGAGGATGTTAACTACAGCCTTGACTGTGCATCTTAGGGGAATATTTCAGGAGTCCCATGATTCTGATAATCAATTACTCAAACAGTTTCACTGAATCTCACAAACAGAGAAAAAGCTACTAGAAATTACCCCGTCATCACGATTACTTTGGTCACTCTAATTACTGGAAATAGTTTTATTTTATTTTTTTTTTCTACGCCAGTCTATCTGTTAAAGGAAAAATAAGAATGAAAGAAAACAATATGGGCTTCTAATATTAATGCTGAATTACTGTTATCATGATATTGTTGTTATTATTTATACAGGAATAAACTTTCTTATGCATAAGACTTCAATAAATATGTGAACCAACTCTGCATAGGTTGTGATGCTGTCTTATGCTTTACCAAATTATCTTTCATACTTTTTTGTCTAATAGGTTCCCTAAAGACCTAAAGTTTCTGATAGTACCTGTGTACAGAGATCAAATGTGAATAAAAACATATGTGTGAATAAAAGCAATTTTATGTAAAAAAAAAAAAAAAAAAGGTTTTTTGTCACATACACACATGTGAAATAAAATGTTTTATCGATGAGAATACACATTAGACGTTACAAGTTTAAAAGTTTCAATTTTGCAAAAATACAAGAATATGCGACAAAATAAAAAAATCTGCTCATTTGGGCAACCAAAAATTCCTCATGTTCACCAATAAATAATGTAATTAGGGCACCAACAGTAGTCATTTCTATCCTTAGATCATCTAAGCATGCACACTGTATAAAATAATGACTTTGCAAAGAGAAAACATTCTTTCCATTACATTGATTGTCTGAAGTCATCATCAGAGATACTCATAATAAAAATGACAAATATGATCGAAGTGTTTTTATCTGTATTCTTGGTTTCGATCAGTAGATAATGCATTATGTACTAAAAAAGTTTGGTGAGGCAAACCCAAAAATGATTGCAGACATTTACAAATCCAAAAATGATAAAAGCGCAGTCAAAGAAGGGCAGGGATTTCCAGGACAGATGTCTGGAACAACAAAAAGGACGCAAAAGGCATGTATTCTTCCAGCAAAACTGTTATTAACCTTTAACACAATTTAATTTAGTACTCCTATTTAAAATTAATGATAGAAATAAGTCATGTTGGTATATTTTCATGAAACACAATCGGCTTTATGTATTTCTGGTTGTGGTGAGGAAATAGGCTGATAGTACAGATCAGGTAGTGACACCATTGATCGTATCTTTGCTGAGTTGTTGTTTTGAACGCATGCATGTTTGTTTTTTGTTTTTGTTTTTTATCTTCTTCCTCTTTGTTTCAATTAAAGGTGGTTGGTGAACAACAATTTGGCACATTTCTGCCACCAGCTGGTAAAGAGTGTAGCAGCTTCAACAGGGGTTGTAGATTTGTACTCCTAAATTTGTGATTTGTACTAAAAGATTTAAGATCTTTTTCCTGTAAATTTGTTATTGAAGTCATAAATCTGTGATTTGCACTGGTAAATGTCTGGCTTGTGTTTGTAAATGTGTGATTTGTTCTATTAATCATGTGATTTGCACTCATAAATTAAATATTTGTGATTCGTTATGATAAATTTGTCATTTGTGTTTGCAAATGTATAAATTATACTTTTAAATTTGTCATTTTTACCTAAGTTTCTGATCTATACTTGTAAAGAAGAAGAAACCAACATTTATAAATCTCTTAAATCAACTTCTGATGTCTGAAGCCCAATTTCTTCATAAATTGCTCTAAAATTCATCAGTTTTAGACTTAGACTTGATCAGAAGAATATGGTGCAAATGCAATAGAAAGATTGAGTTCTGTTTAAAAGGGATTTGAAAATTAACCATGGGAATGGCAAATTTTGGGAATGGGAATTCATTGTGAAGAATTTTATGAAAGATAAAAATTCAAACTTTATTTTAAACAGGAGCAGGTTTCAAAGCTGGGATCAGTGTGGTCAATTGCTAAAGTAATTGGCATTTAGGTCATTTACAAGGCCACAGGGAGCATAAGGGGAGAATTTCAAAGTGTAAACCAATTTAGGGCTGCAGATAGAGAGCCTGATCAACATCCCAGGTTATTCATCCAGAACACATCACGTAGCAGAGGATGATGGAGGGAAAAACAATCTTAGACCGTAGAAACTTTTATTGTCATTTTGTATACACAGAGTGTATAGAAATTTCATTTTGTACAGCTGTCCTTACATTTCCATTTCTTAGAATGCAGCATTTCTCAAATGTAAACAGTGTGGGGGGGAAAAAAAAGATGCAAAAAAACACATTGATATGAAATCCCAACTACTTGACATTTGAGTATGAGGTCACTTTAATGTATTAAAAATGAATTCCTTTAATTAATTTACCAAAGATTTTACCTGGGATCCTATAAGTGTTTTTATCTAAAATGATGCTCCCCTTTTTACTTAGGGTGAACTATCAGCTACTGATAACCTTTATCAGATTGATTACCCCCCCACCCCCCAGTGGAAAATTCTTTTTTTAATTAAACAAAAGCAATAAAATAAAGGCAACAGTTGATCTTAAAGTTTCCCAAGATAACTGCAAAAACTCAATGCATTACACTTTTTGAATATAAACCATATGTTGTCGTATTCCACTGAATATATATATATATATATATATATATATATATATATATATATATATATATATATATCTTTAAATTCAAATAAAACCACTGGAAATAAGGTCTCAAACACTTTTAATTAGGTTTTAAATTTCCTAATTAACGAAAACTTTATTTTAATTTATCTTTTTTATCTCTTTGTTGATAATGTTTTATATTTCCAGGGCATTTTAGAGCAGATTGCTTTAAATTTTCTTTTAAAAAATAAAATCTCTTTTGGTTTTCTTTAAACATTTTCCATGTTTATGCCTCTCATTGTAAGAATTTCCAGTTGATTTATTATTGTGGGAACATTTTAAAATTCGACAAAAATAATTGCATTTAGTCATCTTCATATGAAAGCTGAATGGTTCTCCATCACAGGTTTCAGTGTGTATTGAGGAGCGTTTCACTATGACACATCAGGGTTTCACCGATGCTGAGCTGAGGAGTTTCTTCACTCTGGACCAGATGATTTTCAGGCTGTTGAATTCATGTGTTGCCGCCGCTTTTAATAACAGCATAGAGAGATTTCTGCCGCTAACAAAAGTTATGTAATCCTGTCGTTTTGTCTTTCATAGAGAAAAATATTTCTCTGACATGATTTCAAAATCAACTTATTCCAAATAAACCAAGAATGTCCATCTATGGACTCTGCGCTGGAATCACATGTCACCCTTCAGAGTCATAGAATACATAGAATAGATATTGGCACATAAGCTAAACTGATTTCTGTGAATATAGATGACTCTTGATGACTCTTTTGTAATAAAAAAACAACAACAAAAAAAAAAAAAAAAAAAAACGAGACATTTGATTCAGCAAACTTCCTGTGACTTCATCACTGAGGAAACTACTGATTCTTGTGATTTCTTGTGCACTAAAACCACCTAAAA